AGCAAAAAATATGATCACAAAGGTTAAAGAGAACAAACAAAAGAAAAAATGATTCAGAAACATATAGAATGGAGACACAAATATCAGGAAGAATAGTCAAGAAAGATGATTAATAGTATCCTGAACTGGTAACTAAGAATAATTAACATACAGAAACTAATCAAAAGAAAGCAAGAGAATGAGTTAGAAATAACAATGGATCCAGAAGTGATCAAAGACAAGATTAAGGAAATAGATATAACTGAGACAAATGTGAAATATAGAAAAATACCCATACTGATAATAACAATACAAATTCAAGAGAGATATCAAGAAGTACTGGCTCAATGAATTGCTGAAAAAAATTGATATGATAAAAATAAGTAATACAATTAAAAAGAAAAAGAAGTTCAGTGCTCCAGACCTATCAAAAATATTCTATGACTACTTAAAAATCTGAGAAAAGAGGATCTGAAACTACTAGAGGTAATATTCAACAAGATTTTAAATATAGGTGACATTCTAAAGAATTGAAGAAAAGGAAACTTATAACCTAAAGACTGGTTAGGGGATATTAATATAATATAGTCCATTACACTCTTAGAAACAACTAGAAAGGTATTTATAAATATCTTAATGGGAAGAATAGTAAAAACATGTAATAGATATAGAATACTGTTGATTAACAACTGGGCAGGACTTTCAGAAGGAAGCACACAAGAACCTATCTATATCCTGAACAATATCATGGAAGAAGCCAGTGAGTTCAGAAAGGAAGCTTGGATTTTTAGTCGAGATATTAGTAAAGCATTCGACTTCATCAATAGAATTATAATGATTCAAGCTTTTAGAAAAATTTGTATACTAGAAAAAATAATTAAAATCTTGAATAACATATTGGCTAACAGGAATAATAAAGAAATTACAATACATAGACTTATAGAAAAATATCTCTTATTTAATAGAATTAATCAAGATGACACTATCTCTCCACTGCTATAGAGAATCTTCTACAATCCTCTGCTGCAAGAGATAGAGGACAAATACATAGGCTATATAATGGGAACAAAGATATTATTAGGTTTTACAACACCAAACCAAGAGAAAATGAAAAGCATGAAAACAATGATAGTAAACATTACAACAACCACATACAGTTGCTTCCAAAAGTTTGAGTCCACTTACTATGTTTTTAGTATAAATTTCAACTTTGGCAATTTTTAAATTCTTAATTATACAACCAAAAATTATAAAATTCATATATATTATATCTTAATACTAGTTTTATGTATTATAATTTTTTTAAAAATTTTTAATATGTAATTTTTAAAGTTTTATTATTGTTCAAAATTTCTTTCTTTATCAAATTTTTACTTTTGGAGAATTTTGATTGGCTATTATTGTAAATCATATGATAATTAATAAAAAAATAATAATATTTAGCAATAATAAAACTCTAGAATATATTAATAAAAAATTTTTTAAAAAAATACAAAAAATAGAATAAGTATTAAAATGTAATATATATAAATTTTATAATTTTTGGCTATATAGTTAATGATTTAAAAATTGTCAAAGTTAAAATTTATAATAAAAATATAATAAGTGGACTCAAACTTTTGGAAGCAACCGTATATAGATAACACCACTTAATTTGCAAGTAGTCAAGCTAGTATGCATGCAAGCCATTATAGATAGGGCAGCAAAATTTCTAAAAATAAATAATATACAAGTCAATGACAAGAAATTCTCACTGATTTGTATTAATATAAACAAAGAATACTGAGAGAAGAGGATTACACTGAACAAAATATGAGAAATACCACTCCAAAGTAATGAAGCAACAATGATTCTGGAAGTATCAATTTCAAAGGATAGAAAAAAAGCTTATCAGAAAAAAGATAGATAAAGACAAATATTAGAATTCTGGTATGGAAGAAGATCACAGATAAATAAATGAGGTATATTATTAACCATACCCTTTTCCTTACAATTAAATATCTATTAAATGATCTGATTTTATCAAAAAAAGAGTGTGATAAACTGAGTAACAAATAAGCAGATTATTCTTCTGGACTAAAAGAAGTAAAAATCTAAGAATGTAATACTAAATATACTAAAACTTTAGAGAACCATACTAGTTCTAACTGAACACACATGGTTTGAAAAAACAGTCAAAAACAAGAGGAGGGCCATTAAAGAAATAGTCTTAGAGAACTAGTACAACAAATACAGAAACTCCTTCAGGTGTAGAAGAATTTTATTCTTTGACCAGCTTTTCAATAATAATAAGATAAAATTCTTCTTTTGATAGCAGATATGAGCCAGACTGAAAAAGCAAGATAGTATATTCTTATAATTTAGAGAATTGAAAAAACTGTCAATCAAAATAGAAAACCTACAAGAGAAAGATATAGAAAAATTAATATCTTCCAAGGAATACAAGGACAATAATCCAGTTATGAATAGTTTTTACTCCAATATACTAGTATATTCTACTAACAATAATCAATAATTAGATAGTTGGAAACCAAGAAAGGTATAGCAACAATGATAATAAAGAAAAAAAAGTCCTCAATAGCCAGTCCATCTTAGCAAACTATATGATTTGAAATAACTAGTCATCACCAGTTTTCAAGTGTAAAAATGGCTTCTTCAATGATCTAGAACTCAAAAATAGTATAAGAACCAATAACAATATGTAATAATATAACTGCTCACAAAATTAGTGAATTTCAGAATACTGAAAAGTACCAAGGGCTGTATCTAAAAATCATAGGAAACAGATATGAGGCAACTTCCAATTAACAGATTTCAATCATTCTCCCAAGGTATAGAGTGTGTGCTTAGAGAGATCTATAATAGACAACTATTTGATACAGCTCTATCAACTATATACCTGAACCCATTATCAATTACAAAGATCCTAATTTAGAAAAATCTAAGGGCTTGCATAAGAACAATATTGAGACTGCAATGGATTGCACAAGAAATTGCCTTTCAGAACAATTTGCAAATATTTATAGATGGCTTCTTTACTAGGTGATATATCAAAGCATAATAGAAGTTAGATGGATAATTTAAACAAAGTCAAGAATCAAAATAACTACCTTCCAGGTAAAAACTTGGGACACTCTATCCTTCACTAGAGCTGAGCTAAAAACAATACTAATAACAATAATAATAGTAATTAGTACAGTAGGTATAGAAAAGAAAATAAACATCATCATAGATAACCAAGATGTGATCATAAGATAAAGAAGATAGTAAATACAGGCAAAACTAGAAACAAGATGATAAAGTGTTTAAACAGAAGTCTGATTAACACAATTCTAGAAATTATAGCCATACAGAGAATTGAGATTAAATGGATTAAAATTAAAAGTTACCCAGGAAATCTAGAAAAAGCAAACAAACTTAAGAACATTATTGAAATACAAGAACTTAATTTAACAAGTAACATAATAGTTTCAGATAGAACCAATCCTTCATGGACCTGTCCTTCAGAATATTAGAAAAAGCTCTTCTTAAAATTAAATAGATAAGTAAATAGAAAGTCCTAAGATAAACATAGGAATGGCTTATAGGTCCCAAGTCTAGGAAGGTAGACTGGAACATAACTATGCAAACACTAATGCTATCCAAGATCACATCACTCCAAACCAATCAAAAGAACTGTAGCAAGAGATTCTTTCAATAAAAGACATGGCCAAATAAACATCCCATATTAGCAAATATATATGCATGAAAATTATATTATACAAAAACCTGATCAACATCATTTGCAAGAGATAAGAAGAAAAAGATCTTTATTCTTTCATATGTGGATTGAACAAGACAAGACTAATGGAAAAGTATATATTCTTTCTCACAAAAGAATATGTAGTCAGGGTCAATAACAATAAACAAAATAAATCTATACATGACAAATGGAAATGATTCCTCAGATCAATAGCAAAAGTAAAAAAAATAAAGAAATTCAATAAGGTAAAATAGACATATATTATTAGAAAAGTTATTTCTTACAAGATAAAGCAAGTTGTAATTGAGATCACAGGTAGTAAAAAAGCAGTGATGTTAGCTCTAAAAATAGCAATAATTAGGTTTGACAAGAGAAGAAAAAAGTCTAAAAATTGCAGTATAATCTAATTATAAAATGTGCGAAATTATATAGAATTGACAAGAAAAAGAAAAGAGATCAAACAAAAAATCAAAATAATCAAAAAGTAAGGATTCATGAAAGAAAAAAAGGTTATAGAGCATTAGCAGACAATTGTATATAGAGGTAATCAACTATATTATAAGAAAAATCCTAGAAAATAGATATTTTCCTAACATAAATTTTTTTGTAAATTTTAATATTAATAGAGTTACAATACACTAATATTTGTCTTCAAGTGAATTTCAGTGAGTTATGGGGTTTGATAAGATACTGAGTTAGTGGTTTTTTTTATTATAAATGTATTTTCTTATAATTATATTTATGTATAAAGAAGGTATAAATAATTAAATAAAAACTATATAATATAGCTTTACTAGCTTAAATAATATTATTATTATTATTAATTTTTAAAATAATTTAAAGTAAAAAAAATATTTTAATAAAATAAATCTTTATCAAAAAATTATTGGATTAATTAAAATTTTTAAAAAAATTAAAATTAAAATTTTTTTCTGATTTCTATTAATAAATAATTTGTTATTTATTACAATAATTTTTTTTAAAATCATAGCTTATTCTTATACTTTAATACTACATATTTTATTTAAATAAGTAAAAAATCTAGAAATAACTAAAATAAATAATTATCTATACTGTTTAAGAATTTATAGATCCACAAATAGTACTGAGAGTTAATTATTTATATCTTATCTAACTAGGATAAGATAATTATATGATTATTCAATATAAATTGACTATTTATAAAAACAAAAAATAAAATAATAGAAAAATAAAAATAAAATTATAGTATTTTTTATTTAATATCTGGCACTTCTTAAAATCCCAACCCTATTGTTTTTTATAATAGCTTAGGCTTTGATTTATTGAGTAGCTTATTGTTACTTCAAAAAAAAAAGGTCAATATACTAACATTAGAAAAATTTTTTGATAAAGATCTTCAGAGATTTTTGGATATAAAACTTTGAAGGCATCTTGCCATCATTAGAAGTCTCTGGAGTGGATATATATATAGAACTCTTGAGATTTTTGAATGTTTTAAATTTTAATAAAATATTTATTTTTAAAAATTTATTTATTGAAAATTACTTTTTTTATATATTTTTATTAATTATTTACATTTACATTATTCATTACAAAGTAGACCTTCCTATTCCTACATTTTTCAATTGCAATCCCAGATTATTTTCATTATTTTCTACTTTCTTCAGAGTATTTTGAATTTCAATATCTTCCTGCTTATGCATTTCTTGATATTTATTGCTTGAATTGTCTTTTGTAAATCTGATTTTCTTTTTAATTTTTTTCTAAAATACTATTATTAGTAAACAAATAACTCTATAATACTTCGAAGAATTTTAAAACTTACCTTATTTTTTTCTATTTTGCTTTTAATTAATACTTTATTAATTAAAATACTTTCATTACTCAGATTTAGAATTATTTAGTATTTTGTGCTAGCAAATGCAACTTGTTCTTCAAAGGTATTCCCTTTTTTCAAGAATACATATTATCATGCTTTAGTTTTTCTCTCTAGAACAATAATGAAAATTTTTGAAATATTCTTGTATTTTTTGTAATTTTTTCCCGACCATAATTTTGATAACTGTTGCATTTGTATTGATTATATTCAGGGAGTTTTTGCCAAAGACTAAAAACATGACATCCTGAATTTTTTGAAGCTGTGGTCCCTCAAAGCGATCTGTGTTGTCTCACAAGCTATTAAATAAATAATATTATCAATAAATTTATTTATATTATTAATAAATACAATAATTACCACTTGATGAATATGCTTTTCATAATATATCTTCTAATTTTTTCTTGTGAGGCCTTTGAAGAACTTCAAATGTTCTTGCTAAAAATATTTCTCTGTATGCCAGCAAAAATTTTTGGGATCTGCATATATTTGTTTAAAAAAGTTTTCTTTTATAATACTTTTGACTGCACACTATTATAGAATTTAAAATATTATTGAAATTCTTTGAAGATTAAAAATTAAACCTTACTTTAATAAAATCCTATTCAGTAATTAATGTGACTTGTGTGAATTTCATTTTCTAGGTGGGTAACCTTATTCTCAATAGCTTTTTGATATTCTAATAAAGACTTTTGTAGAACTTCAAAAGTTTTTTGATTACTATTTTTTTTTATAACCTGGTGAAGTCCTGCCATTGAGTTTTTATTTATTCATTAATATAGGCTTATATATGCAAATTTAATTGTGAGTCTATATATTTTTGAAAGGAAAAAAACATTGTGACTCAGTATTCTATTACTAGAAACTCTGTGACTTGCTGCAGTTCACCTTAGTGAGTGTTAGCATATCTAGACTTCACTAGTACTAATATTGTTAGAAAAGAAGAAAAAAGAAAAATAGTTGTTTTTTAAAGTTTTTTCTATTATAATATTTGTTAGTTCTATATATAGTTCTCCAAACCTATTCTTTAGGTGTTTCTTTAAATTGATTTGAGCCTGTTTTGGTTTCGGATCAGCCTTAAAGCTTTTTATAGCCTGTATTGTTGGTAAGTCTAGGTCTACAGCCTTAATTTGTAATTTTATTAATTGAAACTGTTATGTTGTTACTTTTTTTTTTTTTTTTTACCCGCTGTCAGGTTAGTTATGTGTACTTTATTAAACATAATGTAGGCTATACTATTACAGTGTCGCTAAAGCTAAAATGCTAACTAACTCACTTGTCTTAGTTTATTGTTAAACTCTAAGTGCAACTTTGGGAGTGATTTATCGTTCCATTTACAGTTTGAATAAATACCCTTCTACTATAAACATCATTGCCTGCAGTCACTACTGCAGATCACTGACCAAAGTTTTGACCAAGCCTAAAACCCAACCATTTCATCCCACTTTTAACCCCCATCATTATCATTCTTATTAAACCTTTTTCCAGACATTCTTCTTCTGTTTTCCTTCTTTCTTCTCTTGGCTTTCTTGTTTTTCTTGTTAAATAAGACTTTATGAACCTTCTTAGTTTCTTTTTTCAGAAAATTCCTTGAGCTTTTTCCCATTCTATTACTAATTCACATTGTTTGTTCCATACTGCTTTCCTGAAGTAATTCAAAGTCTTCTTTTGGCAACGAAGTATCCATTTTTTAGCAACTGTTCCTATCTTTTTTCTCCAAATTCAAGTTCTTCGACTTTACTTAATAAATCCCTTTTGATCAACTCTGAAAGAAAACTGACTGAGTCTTAACTATTAGTGGATACTTTTTCAATAAATTTTGTTGCCCATGCTTCTATTTCTTTTATTTCTTTTCTATCTACTATCAGGATATTACTATGTTCTTTTTGAGCTTAATCTTTTCTCTTCTGTCTCTCTTTTTTAAATTCTTGATATATTATTTCTACTCCTCTAGACCAAGTTTTCTTCATTTTATTTTTATATCTTGGGCATTTCAAAATATGATCTATTGTTTCCTCCTGTTCACCACATGCTAAACAGTCATTCTTATGATATAGATCTGGTCTCCTAATCACTAGTTTTGCCATTGTCAGTAGTTCATTGTTGATTAACTTTACCAGAAAACTTTTTCGCTATGAGCTTTTAAAGGAAGTGTCCCATGTGTGTTCTTTTTTTAGTCTTTCCCATACCATGTCCCATGAATAGTTTAGCTGAAAGAGAAAAACTGGTTTCTTTGGGCAAGGATGCTAAATATCATTAAAACTAAAAACATAAAGTTGAAGTTGATTAAAGCCAAGATGCACACCAATATCAAGGAAAATGATCTAGCTAATAAGCTGGCTAAAGAAGCATTAAACCTCCCAGCAATCCAGTGGAAGGACCTTAAATCTGATAAGATTATTATAGAAGTGAAATGGCAGGATATAATACTGGATAGTTCTATAAGACAGTTCATAAAAAGAACAAATAATAAAATAACAACATACTGCTAGTCACAACAAAATCGAATCAGTAACAAATGGAGCCTTCAAATAGAAGATCAGCAAAACTATTCATGGGACATGGTATGGGAAAGACTAAAA